CTATGCCGGTAGTTGTTAAGAGCACTATGCTCGAAGTTGTTGACGAATACGTTTACCTGGGACAAATAGTCGGACTAGGTAGGTCCAACTTCGACCGAGAGGTCAACCGACGGATTCAACTCAGCTTGGCAACGTTCGGGAAATTACGACACATCTTCTCGTCAGATATACCTCAAACTCTGAAAACTAGATTGTACAACCAGTTCGTGTTGCCAGTGGTGAAACGAGGTCCTTCACTGCTGGCCGTATGAGGACGCTCAAAATCGCTCAGCGAGCTATGGAGAGGGCTATGCTCGGGGTTTCTCTGCGTGGTAAACTCAGAAATGAGGATATCCGCAGTAGAGCCAGAGTGACCGAAATAACGGATTAGTAAGCTGAAGTGGCAATGGGCCGGCCATATAGCTCGAAGAAGTGATAACCGATGGGGAAAACAGGTTCTCGAGTGGCAGCCCCGTACCGGTAGGCGTAGTGTAGGGTGACCCCCCACTAGATAGAGTGACGACCTGGTAGGACATGCAGGAACCGATGGATACAGGTGGCTCAGTACCGTGCTTGTGGCATTACTTAGAGGAGGCCTATGTTCAGCAGTGGACTTGTGAAGGGCTGTAATGGTAATGATAATGATGGTGCAGGTTAACCTCTCAATATACGTGTGTATTTCTTCGGTAACACGGGCCTTTTCTGGTAAAAGTCGACGTGTCCGTCCACATGATATGCTCAATGAAACCAGGCACACGTTATTGCTGGTCTTGCAACCAACGGCAGTAAACTCGCCGGCGGTCCTGATCGCCGGCAGCTAAAGCTTGCACTTTGTGCACTTTATATGGGCGCATTCGGGTACGCTTTAACACCGTGTAACTATTCAGTATGACAGACACACTTGTTCCATCCCGACGCCTTAACAATTTAGCGATACTTCGTGTACACCTTGGTTCGGATTCCGGCGAACGACATCTAAAATGCACTCCTCGGAATGAACCGCCGAACCGAACTTGACTTCCACCTCCTGCTGCTACCGGAGCAATGGGCCGATTTTCCAACACTCGGTGAAATGCTGCTGTTATTAGACGAGATTCAGCTGGGTGTCGAGCAGTCGGGAATTTCTCTCGGTCAATCGTAATGCGCTCAAAGCATTCCCGCGAGTTTCTCCATGGCACATTAATATGTTGCCGTATCCACGAGCACTATAAACGTACGCATTAGGCATTATTAAAACAAAACAAGAAACATAAAACGTAACAACAAGAGTAATAACAACAAGTAACGACAAGTAATAAAAACAAGAATTTATAAACAAAACAAACTGTCGCTCACGCGCACGTCAACACGGAACTATCTCAAAAACTAAAATTAATCATCAATGCCACCAAAACAAATGCCTATCGCAAATTTCGTGTGTCCTTGCGGTTAGCACTTTATCATTTCCACAGATCGTTAAACCGTTACGACATTCCCAACTTGTATAAGTTTAGTTATATCCCTACGACTAGTCTTCATATGGAATTTAGAAACTATAGTTGTAATTTTTAATACAATTAGAAAATCAATTGTACCCTGACGTAATACGCAGTTTGTTACTACAAAATGATATTGAAATTAAAAAGCGTACCTAATCGGACACACAAATCTAAACACTATTTCATCATTATCTTTGATTGTGTACAAGAAAATAGAAAAGAAATGATGCTGAATAATTTAATAGTTTAATAATTCAATTGCAATTATGATCGATAGTTAATTAATCTATTAGAATTTACTTAACAATAATTCTTTTACTTTATTTTAATTGACTTTCCTTAAAAAAGTCCAATACTCTGAATTTAAAAAAAGGTAAGTTAAAACTATTAAAATTACTGCAAGTTATATATTGATTGCCGCCTCTAATTCTTATGTCGCCTGCTAATTTTGGTTGGTAAATTTCGGTGCAACATGTGCATCGCTGTCATCATCAATTTGTGAAATTCCCCGAAAATCCATGTCAATTTACCCAATTTAGGGTCAAAACTTCAACACATTCCCCACAAATTCAAGAAATTTTATTTTAAGAAATGAAACAATTTTCGACTAATTTTATATGTTTTATTTTTTAACTATATTTTTTCTTTTTTACCACAAAATTTTTTCACACCATATTTTTGTAACAAGTATTTGACTCCATGGAGTATTTTTAACTCCTTCCCTTGTTGCCATTAAAAAGTATCACAGTATCTGCATTTACTCTGCTTTAAAATTAAAAAATAAATAAAGAAATGCAAGAATATAATTAAAAAAGGAAGTCATTCGATATATAAGTAACCTAACAAAAATGTTATGATAAGTATTCTTGAAAAATGGTTCTGACGACCCGGATAATCGATTTTCAAAATCCCCGCATAATCCAATCCCCAAAAAAATCCCCAACCAACTTTAAATTCCCCGCAATTTGGGGAATTCCCCACATGTTGACAATGCTGCACTGCGAGGCGACACGAGTCTGCTGGGCGGCGGCAGCGCTTGTGTGAAAGGGAAAGTTATAGTGAGCGTAAGTACAGTAATACTTAATGCATTGTGTGTCGAACCGAGCTAGATAAAAAGAGTTCAGCGTTCGCGAGATTTTTGACCCTATAGTCACCTGGTTCTATTTTATACACTAGGTACTGGTTTTATGTTTCAGTATTTCCCTGACTTTTTTATGAAATTATGGTTTAGTTTAGCTGTATGGAGCGTGAATAAAGCTATAATACAAAAATAGAATGATGTCACTCTAAATCCAATACGGGGAACTCCCACAAATTAAGAACTATGTTTTTCTATTCACCCCCACGATATGAATATTAAATGAAAGGGTTGGCTTAGAAGAAACGAATAAAATGCCGTCCGCGTTCAGCTCTTCGAAGAGATGGTATACTATTGCCCAACTAAACGGTAAGTTGTTGCTGTTATGAACTTGTCTTAACTAATATTGACCATCGTGGGCAAATGATGGCGAAAAATAACTTTAAAATAGCGGAATACAAAATGACCGCCATACCAATTTTAAACCGACCCGCCTAACAAGCGTAACAACTATGGTAAAAGTCTTCCGATAACGACATCTATGGCAGACTCCTGTGGACATTTATAGGTTGTGATGGATTATATTCAATTTATGTTAATTAGCTAGTGTGGTGTTTTGCTAACAATCTAAAACTATAACAGGCTTGAGAATAAAGTAAAAGGGAAATTAAATTAGATACAAAAATTAGCTCCTTTTTTATGAAATAAATTCTTTACTAAATTATTAACTTCTTAGATCTTATTTTTTAATTCCAAATTAAACTATCCAATATTTGAAGTTAAATTATCATAAACTGAAGCCTTAAATCTCAAGCTATAAAATGAAATTAGGATGAACAAATGTATAAGTCCCGCCTCTTGATTTCGAAACTTTGTAATCGAATGTTGCAATGTTGAAATTTACAAATATTATGTTTGGCGGATGAAGAATTTAATGCAATACGTACAAAAGTTATCTTCGTTCAAGTTGTCAATAGGTATTAATTCCGAATGTGACTGATAGAAACACTGAAATTTCGCCAAAACATAGTTGCCAGTTGAAAATAATATAAGTAAACTGGTTTCCATAAATAAATTATATTCAAATTTAGAGATCGTTGTTTGTTTTTAATATTTGTCGAATACAGAAACTTTTTTAATAAAGATAAATTATATAAAGATAAAGATAAATAATCTATTACCAACCAGGGCTAACTATATGTCGCTAATTGGGACTAAGGTGAACTTATTTGCTACACAAATATTGTCTTACAATATTAAAATAAAATTTTGCGTTTAATTATAAGTTTTTCCATTTCTAGTGTATGTATGTATAATATAATATAATACACAAAATAATGCCTCAGTCTTTAATTTATTACACATTTTTAACATTTTCTTCATTCTTCTACTTTCAGGGATATCTGTAGTAACTATCTATCCTAATTTTATATATATATATATATATATATATATATATATATATATATATATATATATATATATATATATATATATATATACTAATTCTTATTAATATAAAATAGTTATATTTTATATTAATCAGAATTAGAAAAGTCTTCTACACATCCTGACGGAATATTGACTCTTTAACCGCAAATGTAGCACTTATTTGGGAAAGTGAATATGCTCATAGTTTAGCAACTCCTTCAATTCATTAAGACTAAAGACTAGATATAGAAAAAAAAAATAAGCAGTAAACGAACAGCACACAATAGATCACACTGTTCGCGGTGTTAGTGGTCTTGTAAGACCTGCAGCGCTGCTCGCACAAAAAAAGATACTAATGTTGCTATAGCGTTTTTCGCTTCGTCATTCGTAAACGAATACTGCTTAACACTCACTGTGTGATTTGCAGACACAATTGTAAGACAATAGCAATGACCCATATTGTAGGTCACGAGACAGGGAAAGGGTTAAGTTTAAAAATCCATGAAGTATCATCAGCAACTAATAATATATAATTATTATTCCCTACAAGGTAAGGTAAGTCTTTAATATAGACAAGCAATAGGAACGGGCCGTGAATTGGGCCCAGAGGAACACCCATGAATTTAGGTTAACCGGAATAACGTAACGTATACGTATTGATAATAATTTTTTTCTTTCTAATATTTAAAGGTGAAATTATAAATCTATGAGATGTTTTCTTAAAACCACAATACTGTAGCTTTCTGATTAATGTCTCACAGTGAACACATTGACAGGCCTTGGAAATGTCACAAAATATGGGTACATACATTTCGTCATATGAAGCGTCTTCTGAATTTTTCTATGCACAGAAAATATTGTTACAACAGCCAGGTGCATGTTGCATCAGCTTGCATAAGAATGTTCCCGAAAATATGAGTAAATTAACTATATTTATTATTAACTTTTGCTATTTAATGTTAGTATCATCTACCAAACTCAACAAGGATGAAAATAGGTAAAAAATTAAATTAATAGCTAAGTTCTATCCGCAGCTGGAAACGAGCGACACAAACGCAACGCTAGAAGATCTGTTCCCGGGCACAGTGTACGAGATACAAATAGCCGCGATCAGTCACGGCTTGCAAAGCGATTGGTACACCATACTCGAACCAGTCCGTAAGTCTTGCACCATATAGATGCTATTGAAAATGTTAATATATCCTAATCATATACTACGTCTAGAGTATTATATCACAGATGTTTTAATCAAATATTACAAAGACTGCTATGTACTTATACTACTAGACTGGCAATTCAGAACCAAAAATGAGTCGCAGGTAAATGTGCCACACAAGACAGCAGTTTTATTTTCATTTACAACAGTTACTTTTTTTTAATAAAGTTAATCCTATCCGAAATAAATTTCAAATCACGTTGACAAAGTCATAAATAATGACTGCGTTTTCTTAGTCATATTAAACAAAATTAGTATTAGATTGTTGAAAACAACGGCTTATAAAATAAAGAACTAGTCTTCTCGCCCGCTCGCAGTCGACCAAAGAAGTTAGGGAAAATTGAGCGTAACTTAGTGCGGAATATATAACAATTGAATCATTCTTATTCGATGTAGATTACATGTAATTCTTATTGAAAGTCATTTTTTATTTTGTCACTGCTTCGGAAAAAACCTCTGTCATGGGAAAAACGAGCAAGAAACTCAGCGGGACGTTTTTAAAAAAAATATATAATGGACAATATAATATTTATACAATCGTTATGAGAACATTATACTGGATGACTATTTTTACCGTCTGGAAAACAATATGATATTTTGTGTAAGTGGAATAGAAGCTATCCTTGAAAGTATTTGTAAATTATAACAAAATATAACTACTAGATTAGACTACTAGATAGGCAAAATTTCCTAATTAATCCTACGGCGTTAAACTAAAAATAGGCTACGATCGCTAGTGAATGAAATTTGTAAGAGCGAGCGAAACGCATGCACATCTTTCGTTATGTATCTTGCGCCAGGCGGCCGAGCGGCCGACACATCGTTGCAGCCAATATTTTAGAATCAGCTGACACGCGCCTTATGTTTACAAAAAAGTATTTAGGCACTTTTGATATTTATTTTTAATTTTGACTGCCTCGTTGGTCTAGTGGTTGTAGTAGTGTGACAGCTGATCATGAGGTCCTGGGTTCGAATCCCGGGTCAGGACAAAAATCAATTTATTGAGTTTTTCCGTCAAGAAATTCTCAGTAGCTAAATAAGTAATTACCTTTCGTCTCAGATTATTGTTTTTGTGATTTCGATCTTTCCTTCACATTTTTACGGGCTTAGGACCGCCTAATATGCTGTACTCGTAGTTGAGTAGAATTACATGTTAACTTTTATCTTGCATTATAATGAATTGATAAACAGTTTCTAATAATAATTTTATGCCTACCTTATACTGCAACATCTTAACGTATTTATAAGATTGAAATCAACTTATTTACAAGCTACACTGATTGATATTTACAAAATTAGGTATACTATATGTTTGATATTTACAAATAACAATTACTTTTTTAGCGATATCGTAGTAATTGTTCAAAATGTCTACAGTTTCCTTTTAAACACAAACTAACACATCTTTATAAATTCTTTGCTAATCTTCGAATCGTGTCTCTATCACTTTTTATCACATTAAATACGTCTATTATACGCTGCTTTAAATCACTAACAAAGCTTCTTCTGTGTACACTAATCGTTTTAGTTCGGCCCAAAAATAAAAGTCTAAAAGTGTTAGGTCTGTTGATCTCGCCGGGCAGTTCACAGGTCAACTGCAATATATCACCGAATTGATTCGTCAATGTTAGATACTAGAGATTCGAGTATTAGTACATGTTTACGATACACGAAAACATAAACAATACGACGGCGACGCGCCGTCACGCCTTGGCTAATCACAGGTAAATGAAATGAGAGTTGAAGGCGCGAGCGGCTTTGCTCTTGAGCAAGTGTAAAAGATTTAAGCCGTGCGAAAGACAAAGATGCTTACTAAATTTATTGTTTTATTGCTGTTCGTAAAGTAGGGTGGATATGATTTGAATTTCGATAGATTTTAATTGATTTATTTGTTTAATTCAGGATTTTTGTTTTTATTTTTTGTAAAATATCAGTGCCATAAGTTTCTACTCCGTTCACCTGTTACGCCCTATTGTTTTCCAGGCGGTAAGAATAGTCATCCAGTATAAGTACCGTAGTGCCGTGTTGTAGTATACATAGAAGTCTTTGCAAGATTATTATCTATTCGAAGATTACATTTATTCGTACCGGTAAAATGGGGCTAATGTGGTGCTGTGCTTTTCCACATGGCGTTACACATATTTTACATACTTTGGTACTTACTACATCCGCCGTATACTACACGCTTTGGCAGGATACCACAGTAAAATAGCGATTTATGTAGGTGCAGCGTGACTCTACCACGTATAATGATGTTGTGTGTTGGTCAAATAAATGTTTCTTCTTTTTTTTCTTACTTAATTTGTTGACGAATGCAGGTCCTCTGCCAGCACAGTGGCTGAAAGTGGAGCGCGCGACTTCCAACTCGGTGTTGGTGCGCTGGCGCGGGCCGGCTTCCGGCGCGCTGGGAGGGCTGGCTCTGCGCTACCGCACGCAGCATCCCACCTCAGCCTGGACCAGTCTGCCGCATCTCCAGCCTGCACTCATCTCCACAGAGGTACCTACCGCCTCTCACATAAACTAATTTTACGAAATACTCATAACTATTTAAATTAGTAGTGGGCGATACAAATTGTAAATAGATACAATATCTATATAACGGAGTGGGTAAATTACCCTCGTTATCGTCCGACATAGTAATTTTTTTTTCTTCAAGACAACTTCAGTCTCCGACAGCTCACGATAATGTTTGTACAGCTCCGGTTGACCACTACGTCGTAGACTCTGTCTAGTGCCACCGGATGGCGCTTGCGTTCCGATTATTGAAAATAATCATTCTGGAAGTGCCGACTCGATTGCAACATATATATCAGAATAATATCCAATATCTGCAGCCGGGTCACTCCACAGAATATCTTACATCAAACTCGAAGAAATAATAATAACGTAAAATATCTATGATATTATGTTGAACTAGTGGGGGAGTTTCAACGCTTTTTAATTGTCTACCCTCACGTCTAAAACTACGCGTCTGGGCTGTTGTGGGTGTCGCGACCGGTCGTGGTCGTAAATGCGATTGCTTATCACGAGGGTTCAAATCCCGTGTCGGGCCAAAAATTATCGTGCATCGGTACGAGTAAAGCGGTCTCTTTGACAATAGTCTTCTTTCAGAGATTCTTATGCAGAAATAATAAAATAAAATAAAACGAGGTAGAGCCACTCTGCAGCTATATTATAGTTGTAGCACAAATGAGTCGGCTCGACCGGGGAAGGACCACGCTCTCACAGAATACCAGCGTAAAATAGCAGTATCGTATGGTGAATGTAGAGATCCGGAGACCCTTTTTTACTGAAAACGAGGCATTCCATCTTAGTCCTAAGGGGTGACAACGCATCTGCGTTTTGATTCTTAATCGAGTATAAATGTAGATGTCTATGGGCCACAGCATCCTTTTACCACCAGGTGAACTGTGTGCTCGTTTGTCACCCTTATTCTATTTAAAAAATACAATTTGCAAATAACAAATTATTTAATTTAAAATATTTTTATGGTGGAGATTTCTGAAGTAAAGTAGATAATTACTATACTAACTTACTTAACTGATTCTCATAATGCATGATATTCAGCCGATGCGTCCAACACAACATTTCACCTATCCTGTAATATCATCCACAGTAGATTAAAGTGAATGTCAGGTGACTATAATATAGCAATATGTATAACACATAGCGCATAATTAGGCACAGACCAGCGACCGTCTCTCTGAATGAAACTATATGCTATGAAATCCTGTCCCGCGCAGATTGAGTGTTTTTGAGAGTGATATCTATGACCGAAATCCAGCCTGGAGAACATTATTATTGTTATTATTGTCCAATAGCAACTTCTGTTTTCACCGTGTAGTGGTGGTGTAAGAATATCCAATACCCTGTATCGACCTGAGGATGTCTTAGGACGTGACAGAGGGAAAATGAAACAGAACATGCTACCATCTTCTTGATAACAACTCAAAATAATAAAGAACTGCGGTGTCCAGCCCGCTTGCCCAGCGTGGAGACTATGGCAAAACCAAATGTGGAAATCTTTGGGGCAGGCCTATCTTCAGCAGTAGACTTTTATAGGCTGTAATGGATGTATGTATGGAACTTCTGTGTTATTAACTATATCATCATTATAATCATAATTTGACGGCTCCGTGGCACAGTGGTTTAGCAATGAGTTGCTGTGCCGAGGGCTACGGGTTCGAATCTCGCACAGATTTAGAGGTCTTTGTAATTGTGAAATTTATGTATGTAAACTTCCCCCATGATACAGGAGAAATCTCGTATAAACAATATTATAAAACTATTAAAATCTCGTATAAACAATATTACAACAACATTCGCCATTATACCGCATGTGTTTATCCAGTAACATTGTTCGATATGACGTGGATGTTTTCATGGGTTCTGTGGCCTCCACAAAAAACAAATTGTATCATTATCTTTATTCCAAGTATGTAATTTAATTTAGCCTTAACTTAATTTAATTTGTTATTTACTTTAGCATAAATATATTATAACTTTAAGTACCTAGGTTTATTGTTAATTATTACATATAAATTGTGCATGTTGTGTCTACATACATATTATGAGAATACAATTTTGGAAATATTTGTTCTATATAATACATGTCAGCATGTTGTAATTGTGTTTAGTCTTGTAGACCAAATAAAGAGAAAAAAACTATAGTAAAAAAAACTAACACCAAAAAACTTAAACTATCATACAGTCCTACTCCCCGCGGTATCATGCCTAGAACGCTGGCTGCGTTTCCTCACTGAATGACTATACTTAGCCTTTGAGCGAGAAAAAAGCCATCATTGTTTTCACTTGTCGCGTCCGCAGATCACTAATATGACGCACGGCGAACGTTACACCATCGAGCTGGATACTGTGAGCGAGGCGGCTGACCAGAAGACAGTCACCAGCGGGGAGCCGCTCACCGCCGAGCACACTGTCCGTACGTACACGCAACTTATG